ATACAAACAGGTTGTACAGGATGAGATGATGTAAGACCTCTTTAGGTTAATCATAGGCTACTTTCATGGAAATGAGCATTGGTATTTTGTAAGAAACAGTGAAAAAAATGCCTGTTTTCCCTGGCCCCATCTCAACAGGAGCCAGAAGTATGTCTATTGTGTTTGACTTGGTGGTAGGCTGATGTGTAGGGGTCCAAAGTTTTTTTGCTTGAGTGTTTTATGCTTGTTGAATTTTTGCTGTTATTTTGTTATTGAATACCTTTGCTTTGTTTTGTTTTAAAAGTGCTGTGGAAGGGAATTGAAAAGTGCAGCATCAAATTATTGGTGTTAATAATTTGTTATGCTCATAATACTGTTGTGTACTATGCTTTAACACGCGCCCGGTTGGCCGGCTAGATGCTCTTCGCTCGGGTGGGGGTGGGGTGGGGGTCAATTTGACCCCCTCTGAGATCTCGGGAACCAAGAAGGTTAGAAACACCAAATTTGCAGGGTATCTTGACCTATACGTGAACTCACTTAGGTTAGGGTTTCAGCTTCCTAGGTCATAACCTTTATGTTGAATAAGGTCAAACAATGTCAAATTCCAGGTCGGTCTCCAAAGCGCCCCCAGAACCCAGGCAACTGTCTCTAAACAAAAATTTACAATCCCATTTGAGGTTATTGACCTTGTTTGACCCTTTAAAGGTCATGGTGACCAAAATGATACGAGACTGCTCTGCGTTTTGCATTTGAATAAGCGACAAAGATTACGCTAGGCAGTATGTTCCTAAAACAAAACGTCCGACCCGGGTCATCTTAGGTCAATGGCCTGTTCTGACCTTCAAGAAGTCAATTGAAGATGCATAATGCGGTTTTTGCTGTCAATAAATTCGAAATGAGCACCAGAATTTATCCCATACAGCATGCCCTAGAGTCATAAATCAGGTTGGTTTTGACCTTGGTCTGACCATCATACCTGACCTTAGGTCAACGTAATTTGCTCATTCAATATTTGTGGTGCCTAAGAAAGCATCTCAGAGATGTATGTCTTCGTCAGACACTCCGTTGTTGTATCAGACTGAACGATTCCCAAGAAATTGCTTTCGCTGAAACCATGGGCTGACTTTAATCTGTCACAAGTCAGCGACCTTACAAGGTACATCTAAAATTTGTATGTCAAACTATTTGGTATTTAATTTTATACAGCTATGCAAAATTTGGCGCGGCTACGGGGGAGGAAACTTGCCCCCCCCCCCAAACCCACCCGAGCGTGTGTTAATGTATTCTGTTTCGCTTTAATGGTCTAAGATGTTAAAAAACGAAATAGTTTTGTCGGGTTCCTGATATTACGTCCATGCCAACCTGAAATAGATGTCTTTGTTTGCTGAAGCATCAGTCACGAGCTCATAAGTTCCATCTTTTGTGAATGGATTTTTTCACTCCCGCACGGTCTTTTTGCGATGGAATTTTTCCCTCTCACCCTAGTTCAAAAGCGTTTATAGCTCCCTGTTAATCAGAGCCCATTTAACTCATTCGCTGTAGAAGCCCTTGTGTCAGCACCTTTTCACGTAGCAGTTTCTGGTTGAAAATTTGGGGCAATAGAAGTGATGTGTAGAAGTCTATTATAAATATATATATATATATATATATATATATATATATATATATATATGTGTGTGTGTGTGTGTGTGTGTGTGTGTGTGTGTGTGTGTGTGTGTGTGTGTGTGTGTGTGTGTGTGTGTGTGTGTGTGTGTGTGTGTGTGTGTGTGTGTGTGTGTGTGTGTGTGTGTGTATTAGAGGCTTTCACCTGCAAGTGGCCATGCGCACCTCGCGTGCCATGTGAACATGCATACCTCACGTCCCATGTGCCCATGCATACCTTGCGTACCATGCGTACCTCACGTACCACAACGATGTCCAAGAGTATTTACGCGTTGAAGGCATTGCATTGCGGGCTTTTAAACATTCGGCTTCAAGTTCATCTAAGAAATATTTCCAAGCTGTTCCTTTCTATGACGTCAATCTCAAGTAGTTTGCTGGTTTGCTCCCAGCCATATTCGTGGTTAAAAAAGATTTGGCAGGTCACATACTCCAACACCAACCCGTATTATCCCGTCATTTGTCGTCTAATAAGGGCAACTTTGGTGATATTTGATCAGACTGTCTCCGTAACTATCGCCGACCGTTTCGGGTTTTACTGCTCAGATACGCTTAGTTCAAACTGGCGAAACGTGTAAAGGGAATATGCCACCTTTTTTGCACTCTTTCTTTAATGTTAGATCGGATGCGCCTGATTTGATCGACAAAATTAACTATCTCAAAATCTTACTGGGTAGCACATAATTTTGATTTAAAGGGAGACTACGCCCATTTCGCTGGGAGAAATCTCATTGGACTCTGCTAACCACTTTAAAGTAACACTTTATCTGCTTTGCTTTTTCCAGTGTATGCGTTCTGTAATGTTTGCAACACACTTATTGATCAAAATGCTGGTGCACTAAATGCTGCGAAAGCTTGGAACACTCTATTTCAAGGAAATGTTCTACATTTGGAGATATTGAAAAAAACATCAGGTATGATGAAATAAGCTCACTTAGGTATAACTTATAGCATACTTTTAGGTGAAAAGACTGCTCTAGACGACACAATCTCTCTATTAAGAAAATATACTCCTCAATACGTCATTGTTTGCTTGTGTCATCGCACCATGCACAACATTCATTGAGAGCCAACTGGTGGCCGTTCTATCTGAAAACCGTGCTCACACAGGGCTGATATGAAAGACTTAACAATTATATTTGTATTGTCCCTTATCGCCGATTGGCCAATAGAATGGCAGGATTCCAATGAGGTTTTCATGACATCATGGATACCTGAGCACCTAGAAATAGTCTGCACGAAATAGTCTGCACATCTTCGCGGGTGTGTAGCTCAGAAACAAAAGGAGGATAGGTCTTAAGACATGCAGAACTGTGAAGTGCACCGAATGGTCTTCAAGGTGGCTGTTTCAGTTCAAAACCCTATGCACCCCCTTTGTAGAAATGTAGAACACCCCCTTTAAGTACATGGGCTTTTGAACAAGAGTCAAGGTAGATTTCCCAACTTGAAGGGTGTTTTATTTTTGCTCATTTACGTGCAGTCAACAGCCGTAGGACCAACGTTACATTTTCAGAAAGTTGAAGTATTAGCCCCGTCCTCACCCCCCCCCCCCCCCTCCTCTCCAGCCCCCCCCCTTTCAGTACCTACGTCCTTGGCCTTCAGAATACCTGCAATCCTGCAATAATGAATATTGAACACCAATTTGTTCAAAATTTGTAGGCTTTTTGCATCGTTGACCACCTTTGCATTGTTGAGATTTATACAACTGACTTGGGGTATCAGAAATTGTTAGTCACACACTCCGTGGTAAACACTGATGTGTTGAATTGTATGCTCGTGTGATTTCATTGTTATTTCTGGTTGGTTGGATACAGCCGACAGGTTTTGGGTGTGTAAAGTGTGACAGGCCTCCGAGATACAAAAATGACATGACAAATGGTAAATGGTAAAATGAAATGACAAAAAGTAACAATTCTAGACGGCAAGCAGATTCGACCGGCTCCACGGCACCTAAAAATATCCAGGGAATGGGGCAACCGATCTTTCCATCAACACAATGTTGATATTTGCAGCTGGGTCAATGTCCCATATTGTGAGAGGCTGACCGCTGGATAACAGCAGCAAGATTAATTTGTAACACTTCGGAGTTATGAACAGTCCCTGTGCCATGACATCCTATTTTACGAGTGAACTAGGAATAGCAATTAAATGTTGATTGAATGCGATTATTTGCTGTAATCATCATTGGAACAGGCAATGGGGTGCCTGTCACAAGTACGGATCACAGGGTCAGAAAGTACCTGCCACAACCTGGAAGACAGGTGAGACCCAGTCCCCCTGGGGCCAAACAGGACTAGCTAGTTACCAAAGTACTGAGCCTGAAGGCCCAGCGTTTAGCTCGGTTCTGCACACGACATGCCCAGCACAAAGCACCATCACTGGCACGAGTGTAGTTTCTCATTCAGGTATTCAACTGGAGGGGGAGAGGGGTCCAGTAAGCACCCAGCAAGATTGCATTAATATTACTGTTAGAATGCATAAGCTATGCCAGACGGGGAGGAGGGGGGCGCATAAGGTCATATCGCGTTAGACTGCACACCAAAATTATCAGCAATTCTTAAACCAAAAAGTTGAGCATAATTATGACGCAGGAGCCGAAAACTAGAGTTTTTATTTGTGTTAGCTACTTTACGATGCTTGAGGCAAAATGATCACGTTTGCGTCAGGGCAGTAGATATCCGGATGCAAACAATCAGCGAGACTGATAAACAATCCACAATGTCAATAAGGAAAGTAAAATGGCCATATTGCCAACAGAGGCGGTGCAGGTTTTGTGTTGTTAGAGCACCAGAATTGATAACATGAATTACCACCTTCGGTCGGCGTTCAGACTATTTCTGTTGTCGCTCTAGAAATTTGCGTTCCAGGACGTAACGAAAAACGATAATAGTGTATGAGCAAATGCCATTAGTGGTCTAATTGGTACAATGGTCCATTGTAATTAACACATAATGTGGCTACATCGGCATGAATTTCCAACATAGTTTCTTTTGGTGTAATTCCTGCCAGCCAATCTGTTGCCAAAGGGCCTTGACCACAACCGTTCCTGTAGTCGGGGCGATCAGGAAACGCAAAGAAGGCGACGCACGGATAGCAGAATCGTTGGTTTGTCCTACTTGCGACCATATGGCCTGGAAGTCTCCTCTTGATGTACATCCACACAAGTTGTGTAATGTGTGTGCAGTGACTGCGGAGGTAGCAAAATGCGCATCCGTTATACATCCAAGTGGTACAGACGCTGGTTGCCGCGGATAACCTGTATTAAAATAACACGAGGAGCCCAAGCGTATTCAAATGCTCCAATCGCTATGTGCACGCAACGTCACCGGTTCGAAAGCCTTGAAATAAGCACATCCTGCTGTCTAAAACTGGTTATCAAACGAAGCGATGGCGGCGCCGTCAGAGTTGGCATCCTTCGGGATAGCGTCGCCCTGCGCCTGGAAGCCGTTCTCGTCGGCCGTCCAGTTGATCGTGACTGGCACGTCGTTGCCGTTCTCGTCCTTGGCAGTGAACGAGTAGGAGCCCTGCATGACGACGCCGACTTCTTCACCGATCTGCTTGATCTGGCCGGTGACGTCCTGCACGATGGGGTCGGTGGTCTCGAAGCCGTACTGGAAGGAGCCGTCCTCCTGCTGGCTCATATCCATGCGGAGGATACCGGCGTCCTGCAGGCTGGCGTACTGCGTGGGCTCGGGCTGAATGAAGTCCTGCTGGGGCCTGGCCACCGCCAGCACACACAGACTCGCGAGCACAAGCTGAAATCAAGACGCGCATGAGAGAACTGAATGTTCGACGAGCTCGCTGGTAAGACGGTACAGCGACTTGGAGCATCGACATAATGTGTAGTATTGCCTGTGGAAAGGACCGCGTCTTTTCACATGCCATCACAATACGGTACACGGGCCGTCGGCTCAAAAAAGGCACGTGGCCAGCTTGAAAAGAACTTAACATAGAGCGTTCATCTGCGTGCAGCTGGTCCAGATTATAAGACTGTGCGGGGCTCTGTATCATTGCGACCGTCACGAACCACCAGCGGTAGCTGATGGGCCGCGTCAAGACCCTGTGCATGGTGGCGCAGCATCTTTTCTCTTTGTCGTGAACGCACAACACTTTGCCAGTTAAACCCCCAAAAAGCCTTCGGATTAGCATGCCAAACCAGTTAATGGCTCCTTTGCATGTCTTGCAAAGAGCCACATTTGTTGCATGCTGCTATTTTGCTTAATAATGCGAATCACAGTAGAAGCATCACATGGAGCCACTTATGCCCGCGTGGTGGATGAACTACCGCTTTTGGGGGTCAAGGAGATATTCTACACTACACCGTGGCCTGTTATTTGTAGTACTTATTCACACATGTCACGGCACGTCTAAATTTTACAGAAACGGCATCGTCAGCTGTTCCAGATCGGACGTGCTTCATTAAGGCTGCACACCTGCAAGGCGCGGGCAAAAAAACAACAAAAGAAGTGTTGCGGATGAGAGAGGAACCACTTTTAAACCATTTCTATCCGAACTTCGCGGGCGTGCAGGTTGAAAAGTCGGACGTTCTGTCCGTAGCAGCAGGCCATAGCCGGATAGGTAACGGATGCTGGAGCTCGTACACGACGCGTGAACGGGCCTCTCCCTGTCGGATGTGGCTGCCGTAAGATTCGAAAACAGTCGTGCCCACCACTAGCCCGAAACACACGACGTTAAAAAGCATCGTTGGCATTACCCCTTGCGTGAAGCGTGCAAATTCATTTATAAAGGAAAGAGGGGAATTATGTGAATTGTGTGACATTTACTCTTACCATGGTAGATGCTATGCATGATTTAAGTTCGATTCTACCTACAGCGGCCACTCAGCGAAAACAAAAGATTGCAAGGGTATAGGGCCCACCAAAAAACATCCTTCTCTTTTTTATATTACAGCTTTACTTCTACCATCTATTGGTCTGTGACGTAAACAAAAAGCTTGTTGCAAACTTTGGCCTGCGCCCTGCGTTGGGGGCCAGAGCAACATGGCGTTACTCTCAACCTCGTCTGCTTCCACCGCGCTGCGGCTGGAGAAATGACGCGAAGCTCGCACTATGTCAGCATTTGAGAACGTACTGCAGCTATGTTGCCCCCTCCAGAGAAAAAACTGATAATTTTTTTTTCAGTCCTCAACAACGCCAACGAAGGGGAACTTAAGTTACGCCGACTATTTTCATCAGCCGGTCTGTCGGCCGGACCGCATGAGCTGAGTCCTTCTTCGAGTAACTCTTCTTCCCCTTCTTCCCCGGAGTAAGAACCTGATGATCAGTCAGTACTCACCAGCTTCATCGTTGGTTGGGTTGGTCACTGGCAGGCTAGCACAGAGTGATGTGTGTCCCAATGCCCGTTGCCTTTTATACCAAACGGATCGTGTTTTTATGCAGCCTGAGCGTAAGCCGATAGGCGGGCGTGCCACCGTCGCATAACTGGCAAGATTGTCCAGCCGACGCACAAACAGTCCCGGCTTGACCAATTGGTTTGTAAATGCCCGGCAAGAGTGGGGAGCTCGATGATGGAACGGCATCAATAATGCTATTACAGTCTCCGCCTTCACTATTGCCGTCTGCATTGTCTAGGGGAAAGATGCTGGGCTCGTAACCCAGCGGCGCTGGGTGCGATTCCCAGAGCGGGCGCATGGCTGGGCCCGAATGAAGCGGAAAGGTCGGTTGGAAACTGGCCAACAACGGTCAACCCAGGCCCAGGACGGCCGTGCATTGTACGGCACGTAAAACCTTTCGCATTCCTATCTTGAGAAAGGACAGAGGCAAAATTGTCTGGATTTTGAAATTGTTGAACTGGATGGCACAACATGGGTGGTGGGCTCAGGGCACACGCAATAAGCTACACACGGGAGGTACTCTAAACCCAAACGTAGCCCATGCAAGCCATTCGGAATAAATTTGCTAATGGTAGTATAAACAGTGCTCGAGACAGGCGCAGACTTGTGCCACGCGTGCTGCGTACATGACAAACTACGGCCTCTCGCAATCGACCAGCTTCTCAATGCGCGTAAGCTGTTGGCCTCAAAGGTGTGTGGTAGACTCCGCAGGACATATGACTGTGGGGACATATGACTGTGTGGCGAGTGCATGCGGCTGGCGCCCTAAGCCTAAAATCAAGGCATTCTAAATGCCGTGACCCTCAGACCCGTTTGAGTGAGGTCTTATTCTAATGGATATTGGGGCAATGCACTGTTAACATGTAAGCAGCAAATGATAGATGAGCCATATGGCCAACGTAGTCGGTGCGCCCCAAGGCCCAAATCATCATCAAATGATAGATGACTTGGTGCCGGGGGAAACGGAACCCGTGATGCTCATGTGTTGCAAGCGCCAAGCGTGCCTGTTGCAAGCATGCATGTTGCATACGCAAGCATGCCTGTCAATAACCACGCAGCATGATACTGTCGCATGACCCGGACCTGAAAGCGCGTTGCTGTCAAATGTGACTTGAGCTTTTACACATTCGTTCATCGGAGGCAGCGCTGTCTTGTTATAAAGGCCGTGTGAGTCACTCAGCCGTTATCAGCTTCTAACAGCTCTGACTGAAATTAAAAGCGGTGTGCCTGGAATACAAGACCCGTCTCACTCAAAAATGAGGGCAAAGGGCCTGGGGTTCAGCCTTCGCTCAGCCTTCACATGCTGGACGCCGGATGCTTTGGGCCGCCGAACTTTAGGATTTGTACTTAATTCGTTTTTCTAGGGGAGTGATCCCACTATCATTCATTAACCACCAGTTTGAAATAACAGGGTTGTTCACAGCTTTGTTCAAACGCGTAGCTTAGAGAGGGGATTCCTCCTTTTTGTACTTTTTATTGGCATATCAGACGCATACGATTTGATCAATAAGGCCAATTTTCTCGAGATCCTTCTGAATGGCTCAAAATTACTCTCTTAAGTAGCCGCCCCTTTGGGAGGAATGTCATTGGACCTCCTCTTCACCACTATGAAAGTAATACATTTCATTGCTTTGCTCTTTTGAACGTGTGTGCTCTGTAATGTTTGCAACACGCTTTTGTTTAAAAAGTTGGTGTAAGAAATGCTACGAAAGCTGAGAACACTGGTTTGACAAAAACATTTGCGAACATGAAAATATCGCCCCGCGAATTCAATGAAACGTTATGCTATGGCCTGGAATTCTCCCGTATGTCCTTTTCTAGGTGTTTTCCTCTTTTCTAGGTACAGTTTGACTTTGCGAATGGGAGCGTCACATGATCCATTTTCGTTTTCCTTAAGAGGTATATCTGACACTTCAGTCATTAGATATTGCATTTTTTTCGAATGCCTCGTCAGGAATTCGGAGCAAAGATTCCAAACGAAGGCAAACGCATCATTTTCCCTTGGCGTTGTAGTCAATGGTGGCGGTTGTCAACGTGATTTGCGTACGATGTTCCCGTCTACTGAACTGAAGGTTGCTAAGTTTCGTTTCCACTGGACTAATAGTGATATGTTAGTGGAAGTTTCAGTTCCTAGTACTTATTTCTTCCGCGATGCTGATTTTATGACCACCGGACATCTGAGTGACATGTGAATGAGTGCCGCGGCTGGAATGGCGCGGTGTATTAGGTACAAACCGTCACAGTACAAGGCGCGATTGTGTTTGCCGAGCTTCGTGTCGTATCTGTTTATAGATATACAAATTCATTGCAGCTTGAGGGGGTCAATCTGTCACAAACAAAAAGAATGCGCATGCAACCTCCAAAACGGAGGATGGTTACGCAACGGGCTTAGATACCTTCCAAAATGGACAGTGGCTACGTATCGGGGTTATGCACCTTCCAAGAACGCTGTAGATGGTTGTACGCAGGCCTGAGATATCACTCTGAAAACCGTGTGTTCACTGTTCGTACAAGAAAGGTACAAGATAACGTCCTTGTCGCTAGAAGAAAGAGTCATGGTAACAAGCTGTCTAGCTACGGTTTCTACTGTACTCGCTACCTGCGCAGGTTTTATCTGGCTCCCGGTAGCTAAACTGAACTCAAAGTAACGAAAATAGACACTCACCATAATGTTAGATGAATCAGACCTAATATGGGCATTTAACCACCAATATGGTTCCTGTCACCAATATGGGAGTATTCACCACCGGTTTAATAAGACGGTTAACCGCAACGCCTACTTAAGTCACCAGGTACGCGAAGGCGGTGCCCTGAAAGCGGAAAGCGGATGCCCGACATACCTCTACTCCCAGGGGTGGAGACAGGGAGGGGCAGGGGAACATTACCACTTCTCCAGTCCTTGAGAGGACTTCAAGCCCTTTGGGACAAGCTATCAAGGGCTCGATTCGAGGCCCCTCAGGGTTGACTGGAAGAGACCTCGGCCCGCAGGCCTGCCCTGAACGATCAGCCAAAGGCCCCTTGCACCTATCGGGAGTCACTGGGCTGATAAAGGCCTCGTTTTAGGTCAGCAACCACCGGGGCCCATTCACGAAGCAAGGACAAGGCCGGGGTCTGCAATCAATTTGCTGACCTTTGTTGGTCGGGCACCTGAAACAAGATGGCCCCTGTATCGGTCAGAAGCCCTGTGCTTAACAGGGAAGCCTGTGTCGGCAACGGGCTCTGAGCCGGCGAGGGGTACATTTGGCTGAAATGAATAGGGCGGAACCCAGATTGCCAGAAAAATGAGGGAGGTACTATGTTTGGAAAAAGCATGTGTGTCACGGAAATACTTCATGGATTGGTAAGGTATGGAAATAATACGCACTAAAGTCATGTGTCAGGAATATAACGGTATAAAAATAGGAAAATCGCATTTAATTGCTTCGCAATGAAACAACAGAGTGGTTCTGCCAGCCGCATGTAGAACAGTACCGAACAGGGGGCCCTCCTGGGCCCCCGGGCCCGGACCCTGAAACGGCACCAGATCTGTTTGTGCAGGAAGTCCGATGAGCTTGACATCGGCAAATACACGTGCTTGGGTGGTCGGTTTTATTTTTTTCATAATTTTCTTCCAAACCCTTTTTCCCAGTTAAGATGATCAAAGCTAACATGAAGCAGGTTTGTTGTGTGTGTGTCCTGCGTCCGCATCCATACGGTGAAAATCCAGTTGTGCAGTAGAGCTTTGTGGAAACGTTAAACATCATCCTTAATTCCCGACACGTTCTGCTCCACCCTTTGACCCCCTTAACATTGAACGGCCGCTGCCACCGGCCGCAGACAATGCAAGTCAGGGGTCAAATAGTGAGCGCACAGAGGGGTGCCAAGTGCCACAGCGCGCAGCCAAGAGGGGTGCAAGACCCTTCGTACCGCATTTTATTTTAACATTATAGATTTCTCATGACAGTTAAAAAGAATCGCGATAAGTTCTCACCGAGTTTCCCTCCCCCCCCCCCCCCCCTCCCCATATTGAGCTTGAGTTTCCTGGCTGTGTCCCTGCGAGCGCGCACATAGCGGCTGAAATCCCATACCGCCACATGTGGACTGGGTTCGCCAGGAGCTGATAGCATCTGAATTACGGAGGACGACAAGTTGTGCTTTTGCTACGTTTTTATCAATGTTGGTAAATGGTCATGTACTTTTACTTGTAATCTGACGGCTAAGCCCTCATGCCTGGTTGGTTTAACATAATAGGTTTGAATACGGTTTTCATCACAATTCATTTAAAATCATTGATTCATCTTGGTGGTGATGCGAAAAAGTATGGTTGCCTGAACAATCTTAATGCCTTTTCTCTTGATTTTTTTTACAAAGAAGTTAAACCAGATGGTAAGGCTTAGAAAACCACGTGAATCACAAGAAGTCACGCAAACCCGTGAAAAGGGTCACATGGAAATAAAGCTTATTAAGACTTAAACCCGTGTTTAAAAGGTAATACTGCTGTTGTCATCTCCTTAAGCGCCTTACGGGGATTCCGTACAAGACAATCCTAAATTGCAGGAGATGTCCTTACTCAGTGCGTGTTGGTAACAGCCATTGCGTTGGTTTCGATGGCGTCGTGCACTGCATCGACAGCATCATTTGTTATGTGGATGAGGCACACTTGATTTGCACATTTCCAAACCATTTCGTCAACCCAGTCCTCATTTCTGAGAAAACCTGTTCATATAAACCCGCCCCTCTAGTGAGCTAGTGAGCTCGGTATTGTTGGTGTGCCAAATGCGGCTGACAGCCTGAAAGGTCTCAATGTCAAAGCTGTTGCTTACAAAACGTGGGTCATGGAAATTATATAACAATTGACATCAATTCCATTTTGTTACCCATTGGCGACTGTCCCGTCGCATGTAGATGGCCTCAACGCAATTAAAAAAGGCAACAGATGTTTGCATTAAACTGACGTATTGAGATGGGGCCT